GAAGACACCGGTCTACTTCCGCAAGCGACCTCCGGGGATCTTCGCGGCGAAGGACTACCTTCGGAGCACATGGATATTGACTCATGGCAAATGGGAAAAGGCTGAAGACAGAGTTACAGTCTTGGAACAGCAAGATCGATTTGATCGTTGGGTTGAAAGAGCCTGTTTTCAGTACCATCCCCTTAATCATGTTACACCTGCTCCAAAAGCAGCATGTCATGGTAGTCCGGCAAGATCGCGACGCGGTTATCCGGCTTCACAAGAAAGCATCGGAAACATGGGGCACGATCCGGCAAGATCGCGACGCGGTTATCCGGCTTCACCAGAAAGCATCGGAGCTGTGAAGCATTGCCCGGCAAGATCGCGACGCGGTTATCCGGCTTCACAAGCAAGTATCGGATCCGAGAAGAACACATAAGCTGATGACAACCTGTGGACATCTAACAAACACCCACGGTTGACAATGAGCACTGCTGGACTTTACCTTCGAGAGACTCCAGGTGAACACCCCATTACCGTTCATGCTGCGCCTCCATGCGCAGCTCGGGTGATCAACACGTTACTACGTATTGTTCATGGGGGGAGTGTCGGTTGGGGTGGTCTCCCTCATGGTTATCCTGACAATCTCTATCCTGACGAAAATCAAGACCCAGACAAGAATCGAATTGTGATTAAGGGAGTCCCGGGAAGAATCATTGAAGACCGGCCCAGAAAACAGAAGTCAAGGAGGGATAGGAGATCAAGAGGAACAGTGCTGATGAATGGGTGTGGGAAGATGAATCAACCCTTATTCGAGTTCACAATGAGCCTAGAAGGAACCTGTTTGTTCCCAAAGAGGCAGGTTTTTTACCGTGTAGCTTGAAAAGGATCAGGGATGACAGAGTGACAACACAGAAGTTCCAATCCAACTCGAGGACCATTAGGGACTCGTGGAGAATGGTGGGAAACAACATCGAGAGCTCAAATCGTCGCAATGAGTTTTGGACCGGAAGGGCCATTTTCAAGGTGATTCCCAACATGCAATGGGGAGCATCTATGGTTGATGAATCGGACACTGAAGACCAAGGTTCATGCGGTGACTCAATTGTGGCATGTACCATATCTGAGAACATGGACATTATCCCTCTCGATGACATATGTTTATAAGCCATCAGTACAAGCTTCGACACTCGACTCGTAGATCACATGAATGGGACATCAAGATGGTTCTTCACAGGAAGAATGGGAAGAAGCTGGTCTATCTTTTCAACAGGCCACCTTCCGACATATTGGTATCAGCATTCAAGGATTACGAAGTCGCTCTGGATATCCACGACATGAAGGATGAGACACCTTGTCTGTTACTAATGTGCGCTGAAGAGCAGAGCCTCATCACCAAGATTCACCAACGGGACAGATTCAAACTCATGCATGTAGTCACCGTTGCCGAGGATGACAAATTGTTATCACCTTTCGGTAGGGCCAAGTAGAAAAGGTGCATACGATCGTCAAGCGACTATGTGTTCTTCGCGGGCCCCTGCACGGGAGGATCTCCGTGGAATCGACTGAACAGAAACATGGGCAGCCTGACCGCCCACAACATCGAACTGAGAGCCTTTGAGTACTGGGAATTATGGGAGGAATTCACAAAGTGTTTGAACGACGCCCCATTTATCGGTGCCATGGCAATGTTAGAGTTACCAAGGGGTTGTGATTACTGGCGGGACAAACGGATAGTCGACATGATCAGAGGGACGGACTCTCACACCCATGAGTTTGACGGCTGCATGTACGGTTTGAGGTCGAGATTCAGAAACGTTGGAGTGCCCATCAAGAAACCATAGAAAATAATATCTTGGGGATCATTCAGCAAACTGCATTCGAAGTGCGATGGCTCTCATGAACATGAACAGTGTGCAGGCAAAGAGACAAAGGTGACTCAACTATACACTGACGAAATTGTCAGAATCATATTGAAAGGTGTCAAGAATGAAATATTGCTTGACAGGGCATATGGAATACCGGTGAGAAGACAGAACCCAAAACATGATTCACTGAAAGTATTACCATGTGTCATGCTCCAAAATCACATGAATGACAAACATCATCAGACATATCAGGACGAAGCAACTGTCAGGTCACTACTTTGTGGAGCTTTCCGGCGGAAGGTGACGGTAAGGCTATACCAGCGATGCTGGGACACCGAACCGGATCCGGAAGCCATCTCCAACACTTCGTCGGTGGCCATGGCGACAGGGGCTACATCATCGACGGTCACCAGGGATGGAAAGGTAATCGCCCAACAATTTCAAGCGTGCCGACCGACGGTCCTGGTCTTGGAGGCAATCACCAGCAGAGGATTCGGGAACCAGATCCCGGCGAGGTTCACTACCTGGGCACAGGAGGCTGGGACGGTATCCAGGTGGATTGAGGCTGAAGTACCAGTACGTGGTGCTGATCGGCGATAGAAAGACGGTTAGAGAGCTTCACACCCAAATGACATCGTCTACCATCATGAACTTGGGAAGCTTCAACAAGACTCACCCACCGCTGGGGTCCATCATTGACAGACTCAGGAACAAGGGGAAATTCCTAGAGGTGAACCAGATACGCTGGAGGAAGAAGCTAAATGAGGGCCAAGCTGGACATGGCACATGCAGAGCATGATGGTAGATCTGAGGAACAAGATCAGTGATCTGGGCTATGCCATGAGGAAACACAATGTTTACGGACTGGGTGAACATGAAGTACAACCTTCCACTCGAGAGGGCTGCTGCGGTCACGCACCTGCAAACGTCGGTGATGCTATCGTCACTCCTCCATGCTTGGCTCCGAAACTTCAGATTGAAGTGCATCTCAAATCCTATGACATGGGGCATCGAGAAGACCATGATAATGTCGACTCAGGTGTTCGACGCTCCAGAAGACATTTGGGCACTGGGGGGATACCACATCATGATGGCGGACAATGGAACCTTCAATGACGTGAACGAAAGGCACACCGCCTTTTTGCACATGCGCAGCTACTTGACAATGACGACTGCAACCCAGGGCGCCCAAGGCACAACGGGGGCAACCCACATCAGAGATTGGGATGTTCCGCTGAGGCCACAGGACGGCCGAGTGCCTTCCGCATCGGGCAAGCCACCAGAATGGGACTCTGAGCCGATTGAAATGAGGCCGGAGTTTCCCGATGCATCTTCGACCACACAATCATGACTCACATCATCAAGTATTATACCAAGTCTACTGGAACCACCGTGTTGAGCGAACTACCAGGGAATACTTTGAGATGATGATCACGAACAGAGATGGGCGACTGGATTTGGATGGAATTTGCCCATACTACTGCGACAACCATGGGGAGCTGAAGTTCCCGTTTTGAAGGAATCATCAAGTCGTGGTGGCAAAGTAAAGCGAAGCCGGGCAAAGGAAAATCAATGACAGTGTGCTGGGCGAGTCGTGAACTGGATTCGATGCCAATGGTCATTCGCACAGCGTGCAAAATTGAGAAGATGATGGAATTCATGGTCGAGTCGAGGCTGGCTTCAGTCCAGCAGAACTCAAGCTCTTGACGCCATGCAGAGGCCGAAGACCGCACGCACCATGACAGACGACTCAGGATGTGGGGAATCATCCAAAAATCTTTTCCGAAGAGTCCTGAAAGGAACTTTTCCAAATATGGAAAGCTACACTTACTTCCGCAAGGAAGATGAGTGCGAAGAGTCCTACGGAAAGACGACTCTTTCACTCCCTGCTTTGGGAATTATCTTGGTGCAGCGGGAACGCGAGAGGCAGGTCGAGCAATCGATTACGGCAAGTCGATGCGGCGTGATCCTCACGACGGACGTCCGTGAGCGAATGGATTACGCCTGGGCCTATGCGGTGAAGAACGAGGTCAAGGGAAGAAGAGGACTTATAGAATGGATGACAAGCAGAAGGAGAGCGTAAGGCTAGAACAGGCCCTCGAGCCAGCGGCAGTGGCCGCGAGCGAAGCTTCCGCGGCAAGGCGAGCATCTGCCTACAGGAACCAACCACGTCCATCATCGTCTTGGGAGCACGGATGGTACAAGAAGCAGAGAAAGTAGCAACATGCTATAATGTACGGCTGCAATTTCAATTTGATTGCAGTCCACTTCGTGATGATCGCTGAAGATGACATCATCACAAGCATCCACTTTTGAGAGGAATCTGAGCGAGGCATTTTCTTTTAGTCCCGGCTACGGAATCAATGGGACTCGTCGTGTCTCACCTCTCAATGTGAAGAACCAGAATTCGAACCTTTTCAATTAATCTTTTGTAGCTGATCTCATAGCGTGTACAGGTTGCGTAGGAGACTGGAGGTTTCCGGAAAGTGAACCTAAACCCATATATCTGCGACGCAGATCTGGGCAGGTAAGCTAGCGCTATTGGTGCCGCGGCATAACTGTCTAGCTCAGATTTTTTTAAACATCCCATCCTACTGTGGCCAACTTTTAACATTCGCTTGCCATGGGGGGTGTCAAAGGGATGTAAGTAGGAAGCATAGCTGCAGTATGCATGTATAAGCATGGATCCTGACAGTGCGAGCCGCCGTAATGGCTTGGCTCAAGACTTCTGCCGAGACGCAAAAGGATGGCGTCTGCGCGGCGCTGCTTCGGGGAGTGAGGTCTACGTTGTGCAGTACTGCCTGAGTGGGATATTGGCCAACCAAAGCTTGAACCACATAGCCAGGAACAGGGGTCAGTTTGTTCGCAGTATATGTATATGTATACGTATATGCATATGTATATGTATATTTTTATGTACATGTATATGCATATGTATACGCAGATGCATATGCATATGTATATGTAAAATGTAGAATGTAAAATGTAAAATGTACATGTATATGTATGCGTGCCAAGCACATGCTGCTAAGCATATGGCATCGATGTGGAACCATGCGTTTATGTGATTGTTCGTTGGTCCTTCCTGTTTGGGGACATCGTCCTTCTTTTGCCTTTCTGAATCAGCGCGCCCCCCGCAAAAACTCTCTACAGGCAGACACTGCAAGCCTCGCAAACCGTCTTCGCTGCTATGTCTGTCATGCTTCGGATTTTCATGACTTTGATGTGTCCAGTGCAGGCCTCAGATTTAAAAAGTGAAAAATGTACATGTAGTTCCGATGGTTGGGCTGTTTTACTGGTCCCGCTCGCTGCCTAGGTCCGCTTTCTGCGCATGGACGAGCAACTCAGAGTTCAGCATCTCACCACAGTGACAGTGACCAATGGATACCTGTTTGCACTTCGAATTTCTTTGGCATTCTTTTGCACACTTGGCACCTAAAGTACTTGCTCAATGTCCTGGAATGTGTGGCAAGAAAGTGAACATATGTCACCATGAAAGCAGAAAACATATGAAAGCGGACCAAAGCAGATGAAAGCAGACTTTGAAAGCCGTGTCGTTTTGAAGTTGAGGTCCGGGTCTTGTTTGGATCAACCCTTTCAAGACTTACAGCATCGCCAGGGCGATTACGCTTGGTGTATTGGATTATGCGACCCAGTGGCAGTTTTTGTTTCATTTCTGAAACATAGTCAGAGCCTTCCACCAGAGAGTTCGATGGAGACGGAGATCACGATGGAATCCGATAGATTGAACTGAACATGTGTATTTCGCCAAACTCCGTGTTCCAGGTGAGAGTCCGAGACACCATGGATGGCTCCGAACGTGCTGTGCACGGTCCGAGGACTGGGGCCAAACTGAGAGAAAAAAAACAGGTTTTCGAGAGACTTTCGAGAGACTTTCGAGAGACTTTCGAGAGACTTTGAAAGCTACAATCTACACTTACTTATTGACTGTTGTTGACGGACTTAAAAATACTTATATAAAAACTCATATAATATATAATACTTATGATTACGTTCGGGTACACGCGCGCACCCTGAAAAGCGTCAAAGCCGCAAAGCCGCCATGTAACGCTCAAGCCGCAAAGCCGCAAAGCCGCAAAGCCGCCATGGAACGCGCAAGCCGCAAAGCCGCAAAGCCGCAAAGCCGCAAAGCCGCAAAGTTGCCATGGAACGCGCAAGCCGCAAAGCCGCAAAGCCGCAAAGCCGAAAGCCGCAAAGCCGCCGAGCCGCAAGCTCTGCGACTCATGCGCCACCTCCTGCGTTCATCGCCGCTGCGTTGCCACCGCCATGGATCGCTGAAGCCGCAAAGCCGCAAAGCCGCAAGCTCTGAGACGCAGGCGCTGTCTCCTGTGTTCATCGCCGCTGTGTTGCCAGAGCGTCAAGAAGCGTCAAAGAGCCGCAAAGCGCCAAGGCGTCGAAGCACCACGAAGCGTCAAAGCGGCAAAGCTTCAAGAAGCGCCAAAGCGTCAAGAAGCGTCAAAGCTTCAAGAAGCGGCACAGCGCCGAAGCGTCAAAGAGCCGCCAACGAAAGGCTGGCTGTGCTTAGAAGGGGACGGGCTTGCTTACGGAAAGAGGTCTGCAACCAAAGGCTGGCTGTGTTTAGAAGGGGACGGGCTTGCATATTGCGAGACAATTCGTAGCGAATTCCGAAGAACAATGGCAGATGTTATGGCAACCCCCAAAAGATTGAAACGTAGCATTCGACTAAACGAATGGCAATTTTCCTTCCTATTTGGTTGAAAGATATTATCTACAATGTCCCCCCCGGTGTGATAGACAGTCCCGGCCTATGCGACACAGACCTTGCAAAAACAACTTTAAACAAGAACAAGAACAAGAACAGCAACAACAACCACAACCACAACAACCACAACCACAACCACAACCACAACCACAACCACAACCACAGCCACAACCACAACCACAACCACAACCAACAACAACAACAACAACAACAACAACAACAACAACAACCACAACACAACAACACAACACAACACAACAACCAACAACAAACAACCAACAACAACAACCAACAACAACAACAACAGCAACAACGACAACGACAACGACAACGACAACGACAACGACAACGACAACGACAACGACAACGACAACGACAACGACACAACAGCAACAGCAACAACAGCAACAACAACAACAGCAACAGCAACAACAAGAACAAGAAGAAGAAGAATAAGAAGAAGAAGAAGAAACAGAAGAAGGAGAAGAGGAAGAAAAAGAACAAGACAAAGAACAAGAACGAATAGAACAAGGAGAACAATGAGAACAAGATGGAGAACAAGATGAAGAACAAGAACAAGAACTACAACAAGAACAAAAACAAGAAACAGAACAAGATCAAGAACAAGAAGAAGAACACAACCACAAGAACAAATCTAAGAACAAGAACCACAACACCAACAACAAGAAGTCCTTAACTTTCGATCATCCTTGATGCTACGCTGCAAGATCTTGCCCTTGATTTTCGAACAACTTTGATGCTACGCTGTCAGATCACAGCCTGATCTTGCAATCATCTGGGATGCTACCGTGTAAACATTTTGTCCTTAACTTGCAAATCTTTGTTGCTACAAAGTAAGATCTTGTCCTTAGCCTTCAAGCATGTTGGATGCTACGCTCCAAGATTCTGTCTGTCTTGTCCCTAACCCTCAAACATGTTGGATGATACGCTGTAAGTTCTTGTCCTTAACGGACAAGAACCAGAACAAAGACAAAAACCACAACCACAAGAACAATATCAAGAGCAATAACCACAACATCAACAACAGTAACAACAACAACAACAAAAACAACAACAACAAGAACAAAAACAAGAACAAAAACAATAGCAATAACAGGAACAAAAACAATAACAATAACGAGAACAAGAACAAGAACAACAACAACAACAGCAACAACAACAACAACAACAATCAGAATAACAAGAACAAGAAGTGCTAATAAAAAACAAGAGCACAAACAACAATAACAATTTTAATAACAAGAACAAAAACGAAAACCAGAACAAGAGAAATAATAGCAAGTTCTTGGAAGATCTGGATGCTACCCAAGAAGATCTTGTACTGAACTTTCAATCATCTTGTATGATTTTGGTTGCTATGGAGTAAGACTTTATCCTTTACATTCAATCATCTTGAGTGTTACGGTGTAAGATCGTGCCCTTGACATTCAATCATCTTGGACGCTACGCTCGAAGCGCTTGTCCTTAACTTTGAACATCTTGGGTGATATGCTCTCAAATCTTGTCCTTGAATTACGAACATCTTGGATGCTTCGCTGTAAGATCTTACCCTTAATTTTCAATCACCTTTGATGCTACGGTGTAAGATCGTGCCCTGAACTTTCAATCCTCTTGAATGCTACTGTGTAAGCCTCGTCCTTAACTTGCAAACATGTTGGATGATACGCTGTAAGGGGGTGTTGGATGGTACGCTGTAAGCTGTTGTCCTTAGCCTTCAAACATCTTGGATGCAAGCATGTAAGATCTTGTCTATAAATTACAAACATCATTGGTGCTTCGGCGTAAGATCTTGTGCTTTCAAACATCTTGGGCGCTACAGAGTCAGATCTTGTCCTTAACTTTCGATCATCCTTGATGCTACGCTGTCAGATCGCAGCCTGATCTTGCAATCATCTGGGATGCTACCGTGTAAGATTTTGTCCTTAACTTGCAAATCTTTGTTGCTACGAAGCAAGATCTTGTCCTTAACCTTCAAACATGTCGGATGCTACGCTCCAAGATTCTGTTTGTCTTGTCCCTAACCCTCAAACATGTTGGATGATACGCTGTAAGTTCTTGTCCTTGACGAACAAGAACAAGAACCAGAACAAGAGAAAGAACCATAACCACAAGATTAGAAACAAGAACCACAACATCAGCAACAACAACAGCAGCAGCAACAACAAGAACAAAAATAACAATAACAAAACACAATAGTTAAACAACAAGAGCAAGAACAGCGATAACAACATTAACAACAAGAACACGAACGAAAACGAGAACAAGAGAAATAATAACAAGTTCTTGGAAGATCTGGATGCTGCCCAAGAAGATCTTGTCCTGAACTCTCAAGCATCTTGTATGATTTTGGTTGCTATGGAGTAAGACTTTGTCCTTAACTTTCAATCATCTTGGGTGCTACGGTGTAAGATCGTGCCCTTGACATTCAATCATCTTGGACGCTACGCTCGAAGAGCTTGTCTTAACTTTGAACATCTTGGAAGCTATGCCCTAAGACCTTGTTCTTGAATTACAAACATCTTGAATCTGGGATGCCACGCTGTAAGACCTTGCCCTTAATCTTCAAACACCTTTGATGCTAAAGTGCTTGCGGATCTTCTCTCAACTTTCCTACGGGATGTTACTAAACATGCTTGATGCAAGATCCTCTCCTTAACTTTCCAGCATCTTGGATGTTACGGTGCAAGATTCTGTCCTTAACTTTCAAACATGTTTGATGCTATGCTGAAAGGCCTTGTCCTTAACTTTCAATCATTATGGATTGTACGGTGTAAGATCTTGTCCTTAACTTTCAACCATCTTGGATAACACGCTGTAAGACCTGTCCTTAACTTTCAATCATCTTGGGTGCTACGCTGTCAGGTCTTGTCCCCAACCTTCAGACATGTTGGATGATACGCTGCAAGTTCTCGTCCTTGCCTTACAAAAACAAAAACCGCAACAGCAAAAACAAGATTAAGACTCTGGTCAAGATGGAGATTTTTCCTTCAACCAATCTATTGATGGTCGGCTTCAAAACTCCGCAGGGCCTGGTTTATAAGATTTGATATAGGTATGACGATGGAATTCAAACCTCCACCAGTTAGAATATACCCTTTTCATCAATGATGACATGCTCAATAACCAAAGTTATAAGTTATAACACACTCAAAGATGTTATGACCCGCGAAACGGCGACTTACAAACCACGCTTGTTAATCACCTACTAAGGTAAACCATCATTAAACAACCCACAAAAATTACTAAACAGGTAGTCGTAAGTTCGCTGGCTGCAGGTGAGCGCTGGCCCTCAAATACAAACAATCTGGCCCTTTGTTTTTCTCCGAAACAGCTTTTATACCTATGTTTCAATCGGTGCTTGAAAAAAGTAAAATCTACAAAATCACTTTTTTTTCCAAGATGGCATGTCTCAAAGAGCCGCAAAGTGCCAAAGCGTCACAGAGCCGCGAAGTCTCAAAGCGCCAAGAAGCGCCAAAGCGTCAAAGAGCCGCAAAGCGCCAAAGGGCCAAGAGGCACCAAAGCATCAAGAGCGCCAAGCGCCAAAGCGCCAAAGCGCCAAAGCGTCAAAGAGCCGCAAAGCGCCAAAGGGCCAAGAGGCACCAAAGCATCAAGAGCGCCAAGCGCCAAAGCGCCAAAGCGCCAAAGCGCCAAAGCGCCAAGCGCCAAAGCGCCAAAGCGCCAAAGCATCCAAGCGTTCAGGCTTTGAGGCTTTGAGGCTTTGAGGCGCCGGAAAAGCGCCAAGAAGCGCCAAAGCGTGCAAGAGCCGCCAAGCGCCAAAGCGCCAAAGCGCCACAGCATCCAAGCGTTCAGGCTTTGAGGCTTTGAGGCTTTGAGGTGTCGGAAAAGCGCCAAGAAGCGCCAAAGCCTGAAAGAGCCGCCAAGCGCCAAAGCGCCAAAGCGCCAAAGCATCCAAGCGTTCAGGCTTTGAGGCTTTGAGGCTTTGAAGCGTGAGGCGCCAAAGAGGCTTTGCAGCTTTGAGGCTTTGAGGCACCAGAGAGGCTTTGCAGCTTTGAGGCTTCGCAAACCTTAGCGGGCCTGACCCCCCATACTCTGTATAATTATTAAACACAATTGATATCAGTTAATTGTAAAGGATTCTGGTTGAACAAGGTGTGCATTGAAGACTCCCTCTTCAGGCTCTTCTTCCTGGGTCCATACGAGAAGCTGGAGGGAGTTGGCCAGGGCGTTAGTTTGACAAGCATGCAGTTGCTTGGCAGCAGGCTGCAAGATGACACCATCCAGAGATGCGTTCTCACCACCTTGTCACTGAACATGAGGGGATTTTTTTTAGCTGAAACAATGAGTAAAGAATTCGTAAACGCATGTCACTTACTCACACCAAGAGCTTTCCACAAAAGGCAGTCCAAGAAATGAGCCTCTTGTGATGCTGAGCGCATGTAAGTCACTGCAAGACTGCAAGGTATGTTTTGATAGAGGCGAGGCCTGCACTAATTCGCCCAATGCAAGTTTTCTCATGTTTTCTTGGTCCTCTTCGTGTCCGTGGATATTATTTCTGTCCTCAAAGCAGGTGTAACGAAGAACACCTTCACCGTTTGAACATTTTGCCGTGTTTGCTTGGTTTTTGATGGATGTGCCAGGACAAGCAGACTGGTGAAAGGAGGGTGCAGCGCGGGCCTTTGGTTTGGATTCCAGGGCCCAGAGAGGAAGGGAAGGTGCCAGGCCCAGTCTGCGCGGATTTGGACCTGCACGGACCACAGATCCCCAAACTTCGAAGTTTTCCAAGTCCAAACTTTTTTTTTCTTAGGTCCTGGCTGGTGTCCGCCTGAATAGCACCGTTGCTTGACAGATCTTGACAGCATTTCGTCACATGTTGAAAGGACACTGAGCTCTCCTTGGTCTTCTTTGGCTATCTTTACATTGACGTATCCGACATGTCCTGTCTGAGGAATACGTCTCTGTTGAAGACACTCTCACTGGAGCGCGGCGGGTAGAGAAGGGCCCGTGTATATGGTTTCCTGGTCCTTACGAAGAATGGGAGTTTCTTGACCAAAGTACACCAAAGTGAGCACTTTGACAACACTCTGACAGCACTTTGACACCGGTCCTCGATGAACACCTTGGTCGCTTTGTTTTGTGCATTTGATTCTCTGCTCTTAGGCAAGGCAGTGGGGTTTGGCTGAGCAGCACGGAGTATGTCACTGTTCAGAACACCTTCTCTGGAGAACGACGTGTGGACAAGGCAATCCTGTAAACACACTCAGCGGTACCAGCAACACTGACATCGCCTTCAAGGCTTTTGACCTGTAAAGAGAAGACTACTTCGATCAAGTCATAGAGGGGTTGAGCCAAACTCCAGTCAGACACCCTTCCAAAATGTTTGCATACCAGGCCATCATGACGACTTCATCAATCCGACCGTCTTTTTTCTGCTGAATTCTGAATTCATATTTTATTTAATTATACAGTTGATCGAAGGAAGTTTAGAAGTCAAACTTCCGACAATATGGAGAGATGAAAAGCAGAGCAGGGCAGAAGCAGAGAGAAGAGGAAGATTAGAAGAGAGAAGATCAGAAGAGAAAGAGTAAATGCGCGAAAAGGTAGGAAAGTCGCGAAACACTGTGTTTTTCCAATGATTTGTGGCTCCGGAGGGTCGAAAAGTAGGCTCGCTAAAGCGGCGGGTGCGGGGCCAGCTGGCCAGACGAGAGATGAAAAATTGCACGCCGTTGTGGTGCGAAGCACATTTCGAAGTCAAAATGTACAAAACACCTCAGCGTCGGACCACTTGTGGAAGTTGAGATGTCGAAAAAGTGGACGCCGTTGTGGCGCGAAGCACATTTCGAAGTGAAAATGTACAAAACACACCAGCTCCGGACCACTTTTGGAAGTTGTGATGTGGAAAAAGTGCACGCCGTTGTGGCGCGAAGCACATTTTCAAGTCAAAAGTGTTAAAAACTGACGGTCTCGGACCACTTTTGGAGGTTCAGATGTCGAAAAAGTGTCGAAAAAGTGCACGCCGTTGGGGCGCGAAGCACATTTCGAAGTCAAAAGTGTAAAAAGCTGAGGGTTTTGAGCCTTTTTTGACGTGCTGATGTCGAAAAAGTAGACACTGATTAACTTAACTAACTTGACTAACTTAAGTAACTTCACTAACTTAACTACCCTAACTTCGACGACAACAGCAACAACAACAACAACAACAACTACAACTACAACTACAACTACTACACAACAACTACAACTACAACTACAACTACAACAACTACACACCAACTACAACTACAACTAGAACTACAACTACAACAGCTACAACAACAACAGCAGCAACAACAACAACAACAACTACAACAACAACAACAACAACAACAACAACAACTACAACTACAACTACAACTACACAACAACTACAACTAGAACTACAACAACTACAGCTACAACAACAGCAACAACAACAACACCAACACCAACACCAACACCAACACCACCAACAACAACAACAACAACAATAGATCGATAGATGGAGAGATAGATAGATAGATAGATAGATAGATACATCGATCGATGCAAAGATCGATGCATGGAGAGCTAGATAGATACATAGAGAGATAGATAGATAGACGGAGAGATAGATAGAGAGAGAGATAGATAGACAGGTCGATAGATAGATAGATAGATCGATAGATAGATAGACAGACAGGCAGGCACGCAGATAGACACCACTGCACTACATTACACTACCTTCCATTACACTTCACTACATTACACTACGCTACACTCCACCACACTACAATTACAACTGCAACTGCGCAACTACACTCCACTACACTACATTACACTACACTACTCCCACTACACTTCACTACATTACACTACACGACACTCCACAACACTACAACTACACCTACACAACTACACTCCACTACACTCCACTACACTCCACTACACTACATCCCACTACACTACACTACACTACAACTACCCAACTACATTCCACCACACTCCACTGCACTAAATTACACTACAGTGCATGACACTACACTACACTCCACTACACTACTTTACACTACACTAGTACACTACACTACCTTCCACTACACTTCACTACATTACACTACACTACACTCAACTACAACTACACTCCACTAAACTCCACTACACTAATTTACACTACGCTAAATTACACTACACTACACTACACTACATTACATTGCACTACATTACATTCCACTACACTCCACTACACTACACTACAGTACACTACACTGCATTAGACTGGATGACACTGCACCATAGATAGACAGGTAGACAGATAGACAGATAGACAGATGAAAGAGAGAGAAAGAGAGATAGATAGATAGATCGATAGCTGGATAGATACATAGAAAATAGATAGGTAGGTAGGTAGATAGGCAGAGAAAGAGAGAGAAAGAGTGAAAGAGATCAAGCACCTTTCGGTCCATCAGTGGATTCGCTCTGCCATCCCTGATTCACAACAACCAACCTCTCCTATAGGTTTCCTATTTTTGAAACTTCCGCCACCGCCTTGTGCGGTACTACTGGTAAACAATTCATACACTATGCTTTCACATAGTTATTTTCTCACAGAGCTTGCAACTGGGTCATATAGAGTTTGTTGGGGCAGGCAGGGTTTTGCTCCTGTGGTTTTTCCAAGTATTGATGGTGCAGAAGCATTGCCATGCTGTCAAGGCTGTCAAGTGTCTTTGAACAAAGTCAGAAAGTGCCAACAGCAGTGCAAAGCCAGCAACGTAGATTGAAAAAGGGCAAAAAATGTTGTCATTTTCAATAAGCCAGTGGAGCAAAGACTGCACGTAGTCAACTCTTGGAATGTCTCTTCATGTCTCTGTGGTTTGGTTGTGGAGCTTGTGTGTGAAAAAACAAGGTCAGGTGGACGCAGCAAAAACTTTACTGCCTCAAATAAAGTAAAGCCTCATTTGTAGTGCCCACTCTCCACTCTCATAAACAAATCCGGCCTGGGGATTGGTGGAACAGAATTCACTTGAAGCACTTCGAAATGTTACATCCGACTCCCTTTGGGCTTTCAAGTGGAGCAACATTGACAAAGGGAGAACTCGCTAGTCTGGTTTGGACACTGACCAAAGGATCTCTAGCAAACCAATTTCTCGAAGAAGAGGAACCAGTGTCTCTGCAGGGCAGGATGTGTGCGGTGTGTTTCTGTTTGTGGACTGCTGAGCAACATGTGTGAATAGCAAAACTGAGCAACATGTGTGAATAGCGGCTGAATAGCGCACTCCCTGCCAGGGACCTTGTGTGTGGTTTCCTGGCCCATATGACCAGTGGACAAAGGGCACTAGCACTAGCTTGACATGTACCCAGCAACTCGTCTAGATTGAACTTGTTGCAGCTTGTTTCAGCTTGTTACAGCATGGGAAGTACCAGCTTGTAGCGCATTGTAGCGCATTGTAGCGCATTGCAGCGCATTGCAGCGCATTGCAGCGCATTGCGGCGCATTGCAGTGCATTGCAGCGCATTGTAGCGCAGTGAACACACTGCAGCAACGTCTTGCGTGAGATGGATATCTGAGGTACATCACGGTTGTGAACAAGCTAACTGGAAAGTCAGACATGGTGAAAGGTCCGTGTATCTGGTTTCCTGGTCCATACGCGCTAGCCTCAGAGCTTCAGATAGCTTCAGGATGCTTTAGGTATTTTCAGGTGAGTGCTTGTTGTTGGGGTGTTCTTAGTGACGGCCACCTCGACGCACCATTGCAAATGGGAACTAGTATCAAAATGTATCAAATCTGTGTGACTGCTCACCGAGGACACTGTGTCCCCTGTCAAGGACGCGATTGTCTTGCAAGATGACGAGTACGTCATTTGGAGCATTTCTCAATCAACAACTCTAAGTAAGACAAAGTGAGACCAAGCAAACAGTATTTGCAAACAAGACTAAGTCAGTGACTAAGTAAGACTTACTTTCAAGGATGAAGTCTCTGAGTTCCTGCGAGCCTCTTGCGCCGACATGAGAACGGCTCAGGTAAAGCTGAAAGACATATCCACTGGAACGCGCTGGGTTCATCGAGGCCGCAGCTTGCTTTTTCTGGAGCCTTCGCTGTGCACAAAGCACTTATATACTTCACTCACTTTATTTTGCTTCACTTAGTGACTTAGTGTTCACTTGCTTCAATAGCTTATATAGTTTTTGTGAGACAGAGATTGGTCCTGCATGCATTGACAGCTGGTGGTCAAGGTTTAGTCGTGGTCATTCAGACAGCAATTGTGGTTGAGTTTTTTTTCTGATTGCATCTGATTACACAACTGGAAAGCAGTGACGCACACTGAGTGATGCGGTGGCGGTCTAAGGAGCCAACCTGGCGGATCGAGAGTTCTGTTTCTTCATCGGGGATTCAGAAATCTTGGGCGCTCCGCGGCCGGGAATTTCTCAGGCTGTGGATTGATTAACTGCTTTGTATGCTGCTTGATTTCAAAGAAGCCGAAACACAAAGATGAAACCATGTCCACAAAATATCACAAAATGACAAATGCATGTCATGACAGTTTTGGTGCTCTTACAGACTGTACTGGACGGTTCTTGACACTTTGTCTTGGACAGCTCTCCACAGTGCCGAGTACCTGGACAGGCTGCAAGTGGCTCCACATCTGAGAGTGACAAAAGGTTGAGCCGTGACTGTTGCCTCTGCAGTGACGGTTTGCCTGATGGTTTGGAAGACGGCTTGCAATCGCGCACTTCGTTTGCTCCATTGGACTTGATTATGACAGTCTCTGCCCGTGAAGAAGCAAATAGTGAAGATAGGTGAAACATGGTGAAACAATTGGACTGAATGATGTATATAGTATATATATATATATGTATATGTATATATGTATATATGTATATATACACTGTATGTAGGTCAAGAACCCCAGGGGACATCCTGAGACAGCTGTTTGATTCTGGTCATTTAAACCTTGTGGCAGACGTGACAAGCATGCTGGTGCCAGCTTGCTGGGTCATACTTGGACCAAAGGTCGCTGGTATGATCCAGTTGCAAACTCATCTTGATTAGTCAGATGCTTATGGCAAGATGCACTGCCAGACCAAGGTCCATATTGTTATTGTTTTACTTCAACACTTTCATTTACACAGTATGCGTGGAGCAAGTTCGGATTCTAAGAGTAGTTGATACTTTCTTTGGGAACTTTCCCTTTCGGAAACCAATGCGATGGATTCAGAAACTAGTGTGGTCGGATTGGGAACTCCTAAACTAATTTTAACGAACTAATGCAGTCAGATTCAGAAAGGATTTGTTTGTTTGGATTCATCAGCTAATGTGGTCAGATTCAGAAACTATTGTGCTGGAATTCAGAAGCTGCAGTGTCTAGATTCAGAAAACTAGTCTGGTCGGACTTTTAAATCAATCTTCACAAACTACAGTAATATGTTTGGATTCGGAAACCAACGTGGTCCGATTGAGGAACCAATCTTCACAAACTATCAGGATTATTATGTTCGGGCTCATAAAGAACGTGGCTGGATGGAGAAATGTGGCAAGTGGATCCAATGCCCAAGCGCCTCTGGCCTTAAGATTCACCATCAGTTGAACTACAGTAGAGGTAGAAGTTGATATGGGATCAAACGTGCCACCCCGGTTGAATCTAATTTTCGCTCTCAGTTGAACTCAGCAAAGGTTGTCATGGAATGGGACCATAAGTTTGAGAAGTTTCGTTCAATTGAAGTGATCCACATGACATAACTTTCCGAATATTTTTTGCCACATCCCCTTCTATTAGCTGTATGTTTACCAAAGATTTGTTTTTGAAAATAAGTTTCCAAATATTTCCAAATGCAAACGCGACCTGCTCATGACAAACTGCATTCCTCTACGAAGGTCCATACTATCCTCTTCCATTCACCTCAACATGTGTCAACGTTTCACATTTGCTTCAAATACGAGTATACTGTACACATGTACGCATGCCTGCATGCATGCATCCAGATAGAGCATAACAGGCATAACAGATTACAAGGCAAAATAACATTGCATTACACCGCATCACATAAGATTACACAAAATCCACATTCCAACATCGCATAACGGAAGATAGCACAACACAACATAACTTAACATTCCATTCTTGCGATCCATTGCACTCCACTACTTATATCATAGAGACGTACAGATCCAATATGCTGCAACTCCAAAACCTATCATTCCACAATGGTCTTGTAACGATTCTCCAGATTCTCAAATCTTCACTGGCCCCTTTGAACTGCAAGAGAAGACAATCTCGGCTTTGAAAAGCACACACACACACACATCACACGTCACATGTACACACGTACACACGTACACACGGACACACACACACACAGACACACGCACGCGCACACACACACACACATGCTCACCCGCACCCGCACCTGCTACCTAATCCAATCAGAATGTGCCAAGAGTCAAGATGCGTGATGCGGTCCCAAACTTGTACAGCGGGTGGTGACAGCAAGGGAACAGGTCATTTCAGTGCCAATGCCACAGGCCAAAAGGTGAAAATAATTAAGCTAGAGCCGGCGTGTTGACACAGCTTTCCCAGCAGGACGGAGGGCGTCTCTATTGCAGTCTTTTGCCTGTTTGTTTAGAAATTAGGTCGAAGGACTGGTTTTCGAGCTATGCGGAGGCAGGAAGTGATTGCACCTTCCGGTGTGCCTTCTTGCACAGGGATGCAAACAGCATCTCATCCAACTAAGTCGGTATGCTGAGTCCTTGGCAAACGGACCTGGAGTACATGGCAGCGCTGCTGGATCCTTGGTCCATGTCATTCAAGTGGTAATTGATCTGTAGCTGATGTTCCTGTGATTGCAACATCCAAGAGGTTGATAGAGATTGTGCCAAGGCTTGAGTCCAACCACTTTCAAAAGAGTGGTTCACAGGGAAACAGGCATCAAACAAACACATTCTGCAGGCCTACTCTGGACAGTCTTGCCCCTTCTCACGGAGGAAATAGCAGGGGGCCCCACTGTAGATTTCACAATGTGCGGCTGCACCTCCAGATGTGTGTGCGGGTGCGCGTACGCGTGTGCGTGTGTGCGTGTGTTTGCGTGTGTGTTTGTGTGTGTCCATGGGTGTGTGTGGGAGTGTCTTTCTGTTTTGACATGCCCATGTCTTGCCATGTCTTGCCATGTCTTGCCAATTTCTTGAGGCTGGTACACGCCAGCACCAGCCCACTGGAGCGCCTGTTCTGGCATGATTCGTATAAATGCTACTGTAGGATGTTCGAAGTGCATATCTGTGAAAAAGTTCAAATATTCCATGTGCTTCCTCAAGAGTATTCAACATTTCTAGTCTACAAGTTCTTTCCGTTCCGATGAGTACTTTTTGGTCTTTCCATTTGAGCCTATTTTGGAGAGAATCATTGCCTCATTTGCTTCCAGATCTCCTCACAGCTATGCGCAGCTTGGAATCTTGGTACTCCAGGAGAGGTGGACAAAGTCTCACTCCCATGCCGACAATTCCTCAAATGGCAGCCCCGCCAGTGCATTTCTCAGTTTTCTCATGTTTTCTCATGTTTCTCATGTTTCTCAATTCTCGTTCGAAGATCTTTTTTATCTTTTGGTTTGGATCACTCGAGAATACATTGGAAGTTGCAACAATGGAAGTGACTGGATCATGCCTGGGCCAAGCAGATGGCAGATAGCCACAATCATTCCGCTCTTCACCGTTGGCTTTTTAAAGAGTGCAAGCTGAGCTTCCGAGGACTTGATTGATTCATATGTGCATGGTTGCAGGCAAACGGAACTCGGGCGCTCTATGGTGGTTGGTCCCTGAGAAGGTTTTGCATTTAGAGAGCAACATGAAAGCCGTAGGACTGAATTGACAGGGAAGGACCAAGCACATTCTGGGGCCAAATGGTACTGTTGGCTTTCTTAGTGCTTCAGGGGCTGGTTGCCACATTCGCTTGCAGTTTCGTGACAGGGCATAGTGTTCAGCGGATACAACGAACAAGAATCTTGCATGCATTCGCCCTGGGAATACTGCCGTATAATATATCATGCACACATGCGCTTAAATGAGTGGCGGGGAGTTGGTGATATCGATACAGGTACTTGTGGGCTTCATGTGGGCAGTAGTTTCACAATAGTTGTTTTACGCTTTGACATGTTTAAATTCAAATGCCAAGTGAACACATACTGAACCTGGGCACATCCCCGTGCTACACCCGACGATTTTTGTTCACTCAGGTCCAATGCAGACCGACCTTTCAGCCTTGCAGGCCCAGCTCCGGCATGATCATTGACAGCATTTATGAATATTTTTGTAAATATATAGTAATATATATTTTTTATGCGAAAACTCAGGGCAAAATGATCATTTTATAGCTTCAATAACTTTTCTTCCAGTTTTTTTTTCGGGGATTTGTGGTTTGCCCAATAGAGATTCATCGGAACACCCTGTAAATGCGATGGTGAGTCACAAATGAAAGCAATCTTCATCTGGGAATCCAAAAGGGGCAGTTAGCGCCACATGCAGCCATGGACCGAAGACCTTAGCGAAAATTATCCAAGGGGTGATTCATACCCCTTCCACAAATCCTGATACTATAAACATATGAATATGTCGAACTGAAGGTCAATATAGGATGGATTTGACAAGGGTAGTAATGGAATCGGGTACCTATTACATGAAAAAAACACACACACACATATATATATATGGCAGTATCTACGTTGGATGATGTTTGTTTTCCTCTCAAGCTCTATGTGGGTTCAGGGGTTGCTGTCTCCTGCTGGGGTTTTCCGAGACATCTCATTTGGACTTTCTTGCCCTTTCCGCTGCGGGTCTAGTGTCCTCCTTCCGTTTGTCTCTGGTCTCTCCCTTGGATTTGTTTTTGGACTCTTGTTTGCCATCTATCTGCTCCAATTCTTCCATATCCATCGCCAACAGCCTCCAGCTACCTACCAATCTGTGCCCCCTGCTAGTGAGCCAGCAGGGTGTAGGCCTCGCAGCCGCCTTTCAGGTTATTTGCATGAGTGATCAGAACCTCATTGCATTGACCTTTGCCATTGAACGGTTGACCTTATCTACTGAGAGGCTTGCCCAAGAGCTTCAGAGGCACCGCCTTGCTACTTCCACCAGCGACAGCCCAGTGCCTCCCATTGCAGCTGCCTCCGTCGAAGGGGGACGTGTTCCTTTCCCAGGCGAGTTTGTAAATCACTGTGCTCTGCTTCGCTATCGAGGTGCCGAAGACGGGCCCGGATCTGTCCCGGCCTTTGCCGTGTTGCACTGTGTGGAGAAGCTCTCTGCTGACAAAGCCCCAGGTCCTGAGGAGAGAGCCAAGTTTGCATATAGGTCTGGGTTTTGGGCCTCCATTGCCATTTCGACTCGGACAGGTTTCAATCAAGTGCAAGCTCAGGGATTGAGGAACAACCATTGGATCGATTGGTGCTTTCCGAGCAACCTCCCGCCGTGAATATGAGGCTCTGGTTTCTTTGAGTGATCCAGTACTGGTCTACGCAGTTTTCGATTCTTTGGCAGAGGTGGACGTGTTTTGCTTGGGAGCATCCTGCATTGAGCCCCCAGTGAAGACATGCTGAGGAACCAAATCAAGCATGTTGGCCGTGGAGATGACAGCTTGTTGCTTGTTTTCACGCCGCCAGCTGAGGCCCTAATACCTAATTCAGATCCTTCATGCATGGCCATCCCAGTCCTCCCTCGCGAAGGTGTTTTTTTGCTTGCAGTGCCAGATGGGTATTTTGCCAATGATGCAATCATGGAAGCCGCTCTCTCCGAGGAGGGTGAAGTGCTGGGGCCCTCTAGTGATATGAGTGCACCTCTAGTTGAAGAGGATGACTCAGGTTTAGAAGTTGCCATAGGGTACGAAGCCAAGTTCCTTTTGATCGATGTTAGTGACGCTGCTCTCTCCATGCTCCGAGAGTATGATCCTGTGATTGACCCAAGTAGTGAGATCTGCCCATACTCTAAGGATAGACCGCTTGCGATTCTAGACATAGGTGCCGTTATGCCAAACATCAATGCATGGTTGGAGTCTCCTGGAGGTGCTGAACGCATGAATTTTTATTCCGCTCGAGAAGAGCAGCAGCCCCCCATGAGGTCGCAGGTGCCCAAAGCAAGTCCGAAGAAAGCGGGAGCCCGAAGAGTCACAGCTGCCGCCTTGGCAGAGACAGTCGCAGCTCTTACAGATCAGGTGAAACTTCTCTGCAGCGCAGCAGGAGACCATGATGCAGCAGCAGCAACAATCGTCGCCCTTGGTCACTCCTGTTCCAGGACCTGCGCTTGGAGCAGGCATGCCGGGAAAGCTTCCAGCTGTTTCTGCAGGAATCCAACAAAGTGGGTTGCCAAGCATTGCCAAGGTTGCTCAACTGTTGGGGCCGCCCCCAAAGTCGAAGCCGCTGGTCGTGTCATTTGTGCCAGATGTTCCCCGCGCAGAGACTATGCAGCATGTTCCGATAGGCCTAGACTCTTCGACGCCAGATGTGTCACATGTATTGCTTCAGCAGTCTCATGCGATTACCACTCTGGTAGCTCACTTGACCCAAGGGGATCCCCTGACCGAGCTAGGCGCCAGTTCATCCTCCAGTCAAGGGTTGCATACAAAAGGCGTCGCACGAAGAGAGAGAATGCAGCAGGAACTAGCAGGAGGCCAATCGAATTTCTACCTGCAGGTTCAACAGCAGATTTTCAAGCGAATGTTCCCGTCGCGACCACTTCCAAAGGACGAGAACGAGCTGATCAGTTCGGGGGTTTCCCTTTGCCATTACCTGGAGAAGTTTGGAGGCTACAAAAACCAAAGCGAGATGGCCATGATCATGTGGATGTTAGCCCACAGCCTAGATGCGTCCGCGTCGGGCAACAACAGGTTGTGCAGAGAGTACCTAGCTCTCACCGTGGCTTGCATCGAACAAAGTGTCATGGACCGCAGTTGGAACTTGGCATATGTCCTGAGTTTACTCGAGGAGCCACGTACCCAGGTCTTCACGGAGAGATCATCAGCTGTGACGTCCCTGGGACGTCCTTTTGCTCCTCTGGTGCCGCCACCACGGGCAGCAGTGGCTCTTGCTTACCTGAAGGAGTTAGACCTTCTGAGCAATCGCAAGACGGAATCGAAAGCCACCAAGCAGACCCCGGCGAAAGCGGGGGAGCAAGATTCTCCTTCGCCCAAGCGAAGACCGAAGTTTCCAAAGAGACCCAAACAAGGGGCGGAGGCCCCCTCGTCCAGCAATTGAGAGAGTGCGAGCATATCACTGGGGCCATCCCCAATTTCTGCCATAGTAATCCATCAAGCTTTAAGCCCTTTGATGCTGAGGTTAGATTGGATAGCCATGTCTCTGTTCCTTTAGGTAACCAAGATGGTTTTGCCTGCATAGAGCCCAGAATTAAAAATCCTGTGAATCCCAAACCAGTTGATGCGATGCATTCGAGTTCCAGTAGCTGCCTTGAATCACCTGGCAATCCATGCATGCATTCACAGGTTCCTAGACTACGCACTGATCGCCTGGACCTTCCGAAGTGGAGGTCGCTGCTCGTTCCTTTGGTGTTGAGATCTAGGACAGCTTTTAGCAGTTTTCTGTCGAGGACCATCCGATTGACCCGCCGTTGGTGGACCAAGCGGCCCCGACTTTCTTTCCTGTCCCTATTCCCTGTCGTGGAATCTTTGGACGGATGCCCTCTAAAGCATCTCCTGAAGCAAAGCATGCCCGAAACCTTTCGCAGACGGTCCATACAATGGTGATGGCGTTGAAATATTGGTATAGTGGTGGAAGCTTTGTTGACGTTGAACTTTTGAGGAGAAGACCATCTCGACATCATCAGGTGTTGTTTCAGCGCCTTAGGTCTTTATGCGAGTCGGAAGGTTCTGCTTTTTTTGAGAATGTGCCCAAGGCAGGTTGACGTTTTCCTGAATTAGTTGCAAGATTGGAGGACTTGTCTGACATGATGACTAAGTTAGGCGTTTCCTCTAACCCATATGACAAGACGTTCCAAGGAGTTGACATTCCAAAGCAAGTACCCTCTCCTGAGCTGAAACCATACCAGGACATGGAACCGGACAAAATTCTGCTGTTCGGGCATGGTGCTTGGGACGTGACCAGCTTTTTGCCAGATGAGATGGTGATGGCCTACAGAGAGCCTAGGTCTCTGCTCCATGGATTGCCTGTGCCTCCCGGACCTGAGATCCGAGACCAACCAAAAACCTTGTCGCAGTTGGCCCACAAGTGGGATGAGCTTGGCCTTTTGCATCTCCACCAGCAACCGATCCACCCGGATGGACTTGTGAGAATTTTTGGTGCTATGAAGGATCTTAAAATTCACCGTCAAATAGGTGATAGGCGGGGTCAAAATGCACGTGAAGCAGCCGTTTCGGGACCCAGCAAGAATTTGCCCAGTGGCCCCGATTTCGTAGAGTTGCATGTCAACCCGAAAACTCATAGGCTCTCCATCTGCATCACTGATCGTAAAGGCTTTTACCATCAGATTAGGACCTCAGAAGCTCGTGCCGTTAGTAACACCATAGGTCCCGCGGTCCCTAAATCACTTTTAGAGGATACCAAAGCCTATTCTGCCTTTTTGATGCGGAGCGCTCACCGGAGACGAACTAGTGACAGGTATGGTGATGACCTTGGCCATGATGTAGCACATGAGCTTGTAGGACCTCCTCATGACTCACTCTGGGTTTCCTTTGCCTCTATTTTGCAGGGGGATCATTGCGGTGTGGAGCTAGCAACTGCAGCCCATACTCAACTCCTTCGCCAAAAGGGCCTGCTGAGTGACGAAAGCAACATGCTAGCCAATAGGCCCCTTAGGAGTGAGCACCTAGCCGAAGGCTTGGTTATCGATGACTACTTCTCCGTAAGTGTTGAACCCATAGATCGTACTGATAAGCCCGCTGCCGTCCAGAACTACGAAAAGGCAAGCGACATAAGGATATGATAGATGCAGATGAAGGGAGAGTGATAGAGGTGCCTATCTCAATTGCAGTGAGCGTGCAACGAGCAGGAACCTAGTTACTGTTGCGGCCCCGGTTGAGAAGAGGCTTGGTTTGGCCTACATTTCTCTCCTCCTCTCCCAAATGCAGTATACTTCAGAATAGTTTGCATCTTTGTTTAATTGGGGGTTGGGTTTCAGCCCTCACCTACAGGAGACCACTGATGGCTGTGCTCCAGCACAGTTTTAAAGTTGTCGACATGACTAAGTTCGACCGCGACCGTCCCAAGTTAGTGAAGCTGACCAGGAAGGTTGCCGAGGAGCTAGTCCTACTCAGTTGCCTGATGCCTCTCGCATGTACAGAGCTGTCTGCTGACTATGATAACAGGGTTTTTTGCACAGATGCCTCGAATAGCAAGGGAGCCATTTTGCAGACCACCATGAGCAAAGAGATTGCAGAGGCCCTTTGGAAGACTTGCAGATCCAAGGGCGCCTATTCCCGCTTAATGACCCCGCTCGAGTCCGTGCTTAAGAGCGTGGGAGCCCTCGAAGAGGTTCAGGACGCACCTGACAAGGGAGGCTGCACTATAGGCAGACCACCGGCCTTCATTTCGACTTCATTGAAGTTTTCGCTGGTGCCAGTAAGATTACTGCATGTTTGGCTGAAGAAGGTTTTGTTTGCGGTCCCCCCTTAGATCTGACATGGAGCCCAGAATATGACCTGACGCAGATACACGTTATTTCTTGGCTCACTGACATGGTTGTTAGAGGGAGGCTTTTAGCCTTTTTCTTAAGCCCACCATGCACCACTTTCAGCATCATGCGTAGGCCCAGATTGCGTTCCATTGAGATTCCCTTTGGGTTTTGCACCTCTGATCCACAGACGCGCACGGGTACAGTGCTTGCGGGTAGGTCCATGCAACTGATGTATGTAGGAGCCCGACATGGAGCCACCGGGATTGCAGAGACTCCATATTCCTCGTACATGAAGGGCCTGCCAGCCTGGCAGATCATCAAGAACTTGGATGCTAGCGAAGAGACGAGGTGCGACTCCTGTTGTTTTGGTTCACCGCACTTGAAAAGCTTCCGTTTTCTTGGCATCAACGCAGACCTTGAACCGGTCAGAAGGAGATGCAAGTGCCGAACCAAACACCTGGTAGTCCAAGGTAAATACACAAAGCATTCTGCAACCTACACTGATGGGCTGGCCGCTGCACTAGGATCCATTTTTTCAATTGCCATCCGCAAGCGGAAAGCCGACATGCAGGACCTTGACAGCATTGCCACAAGGGGTCTTGAAAACCAGCTTGTGAATGACCTGATGCAGAGCTCAAGGTGGGAACTTGTAAGACAATGGACTTTTCGTAGGAATAGCCATATTAACATCTTAGAGGAATCTGCTCTCTTGAAGCTTTGCGGCATTTTAGCCAGGGAGGGTTCACCCCGTAGGATTAGTGTAATGGTAGACTCAAATGTTGTCCGATGCGCAACCTCCAAAGGGAGGACATCTTCCTTGGGACTTGCCTCCATTCTCAGGAGAGCAACAGCTTAAGTTGTCGCCGCAGGACTCTATGTCAACATACCCTTTTGCCCTACGAGACTTAATGCAGCAGATGACCCCACCAGGGACAGACCCATACGTGAACCCTCACCCGGCTTACACTGTGAGGCAATGAGCAAAGATGAGCTTTTTGAGCTCGCAAACTTCCCAAAGATGCGACGGTGGGCCTCAAATTGGGTACGACTCATTCTGCGAGTACTGGGTACCCGGGCCATGGCTTTTACCAATAGATCCATTTTCAGGTTCCCCTGGAATGTCCCTAGTGCCATAGGAGAGTTTGACACTACCTTGGATTTTGACCAAACAATGGGGTTTCCGGGTGAAGGCCCTTTCACCTTTTTCTGTTTCGGTGGCTCTGGCCTTCGCTCTGCCTGCGAGGTGTCGCCACCCCTGGATTGGGCGGAGGCGCCTCCGGCTGCCGTGACCTTCGGTGGCTCTGGCCTTCGCTCACTTCGCGCCTGCGAGGTGTCGCCGCCCCTGGATTGGGCGGGGGCGCCTCCGGCTGCCGTGACCTCAGTGTGTAGCTCGGGTATGTGTACGTTACCGTCCCTGGATTGGACGTCTTGTTGTCTTCTGTGCCTCTTACTGCATTGCTGGAATGCTGCCATTTCCTTTAGCCAACTCCTAAGCCAGATCCCGCCGTTGGACTTTTCGGGATCCTGTTCTGTTCGTCGCCCCCGTGTGTCTGTACTGTCGGTCCCTTGTCCTTCCTTCGGCCGGGTGCTTCTTTTCTGTGTGCTGATGCTGATGCTTGGGTTCGACCGTGCCGCAGCCATGCCCATTGATCCTTTGACACTTGCGGAAAGAAGACGAGCTGGAGAAAGACAGGTCTGCCCAACTTTGACCATGGGAAGGCCAGTGACAGATACTACGAAAAATCTGAGAGACAAATACTGGTCGATTTTTATTTCCTGGACAGTTGAATACGAGTTGAATTTCGAGGAAGTTCTGGAAAATTACAGCTTCTACGTGGAAGAGATAAATTGCGTGCTGATACGTTTTGGTAGGATTCTATACCAGAATTGGAAAAGCTACAATCAGCACGCAGAGACTATAAATGCCCTGGTCAGTAAGCAACCTGGTTTGAGAAGACTGATGACAGGGGCCTGGGATCTAGGCTTCGCTTGGGCAAAGCAGGAGCCCTCTCAACATCACCTGCCAATGCCAACACAAATACTTATCAGCATGATTATAGTGTGCCTTTTCTGGGGCTGGCGCGATGTAGCAGGGATGCTTGCCCTCGGCTTCGGGGGGCTCTTGAGACCAGGTGAAATGGTTGCGACTAGGCGCTCAGACCTCCTCCTTCCTCGATGTTGTTTTTTCGACTTTCTTTGCTCTCATAAGTATAAAGGAACCCAAGAGCCGGTTCACATATGCACGGCATCAGTCTACTAAGATTGACAGAAGATCTGGTTGACGTTCTGGACTTGGCTTTTGGAGATGTACCTCCTCATGAAAAACTCTGGCGTTACAGTGCGCAGACTCTCAGGAATACATTCAAGTCCCTACTATCGGCGCTTACGCTTCAAACCTGGAGCGTGCCCGGTAGCAGGTGGTTGGACCTTGGGAGCCTGCGTTCAGGTGGAGCAACTTTTATATATTTCAAGCGAGTGACTTAGGACTTGTGAAAGATACCCTGGTGTGGCCAAGTCCTATCTCATCATGCGTCGGACCCCCCCGGCACAAGTCCCAACTCATCAGGTGTCCGACGAGATTAGAAACTATGTTTGATTTTTTTTAGTGCGGCATGGACCACTTGTAAAACCATGATGACATAGGAATGAACTAGCAGAAATATATTAAGATGATCCTAAGTCATCACGCTCGTGCGCTGCAGCACTTTTTAAGTTAAAAAAAATCTTCTCTGAATAAGTCATCAGAATCTACATACTTACAGAACATTACAGTACAGTACATTACATCACTACAATACAGTAAAGTACAGTACATTACATTACACTACAGTACATTACATTACATTACAGCACATTACAGTACATTATATTACATACATGCACAGGACTTGGTGCACAAAATCGTATGTCACTAGAGGGGCACAAGTCCTAAGTCACCAAAACCTACATACTTACAGAACATTACAGTACAGTACAGTACAGTACATTACACTACAGTACATTACATTACCTTACAGTAAAGTACAGTACATTACATCACACTACAGTACATTACAGTAAAGTGCAGTACATTACATTACACTACAGTACATTACATTACATTACAGTACAGTACATTACAGTACATACATGCATAGGGTTTGGTGCACAAAAATCGTATGTCACCAGAGGGGCACATGTCCTAAGTCATCAGAACCTACATACATATATTACATTACATTGCAATACAATACATTACATCCCAACATCCCAATACATTTTTCATTTTTTTCAATTTTTTTAATTGCTTTAAAATACTGTCTATATATAAATCGAAGGAAAAAACATGGAAAATCACAGATTTTTTTTGAAATATGTTTTTTTGAAGATGGGCACAAGTCCTAAGTCATCATTTTTTCAACGGTTGGCTCCAGGACTTCGACCCAACGACGGGGTAGTGCAACGGGGGAATACAATACGGAAGCACAACGGGGAAACAAAACGGGAAACCACAGAAAAAAAGGAAAAGTGAAAAAAACAAAATTATATTTTTCAATTTATTTAATTGCTTTAAAATACTGTCTATATATAAATCGAAGGAAAAAAATGGAAAATCACAGATTTTTTTTGAAATATGTTTTTTTGAAGATGGGCACAAGTCCTAAGTCATCATTTTTTCAACGATTGGCTCGAGGACTTCGACCCAAAAACGGGGTAGCGCAACGGGGACCACTTCCCGTTGTGTTTCCCTATTGTGGTTCCCGTTGCGCTACCCCGTCGTTGGGTCGAAGTCCTCGAGCCAATCGTTGAAAAAATGATGACTTAGGACTTGTGCCCATCTTCAAAAAAACATATTTCAAAAAAATCTGTGATTTTCCATTTTTTTCCTTCGATTTATATATAGACAGTATTTTAAAGCAATTAAATAAATTGAAAAAAATGAAAAATGTATTGGGATGTAATGTATTGTGTTGCAATGTAATGTAATATATGTATGTACGTTCTGATGACTTAGGACTTGTGCCCCTCTGGTGACAGACGATTTCCAAGTCCTTTGCATGTATGTACTGTAATGTACTGTACTGTAATGTAATGTACTGTAGTGTAATGTAATGTACTGCACTTTACTGCAATGTAATGTAATGTACTGTAGCGTAATGTACTGTACTGTACTGTAATGTACTGTAAGTATGTAGGTCCTGATGACTTAGGACTTGTGCCCCTCTAGTGACATACGATTTTGTGCACCAAGTCCTATGCATGTATGTACTGTAATGTACCGTACTGCAATGTAATGTAATGTACTGTAGTGTAATGTAATGTAATGTATTGTACTTTACTGTAAGTATGTAGGTTCTGATGACTTAGGACTTGTGCCCCTCTGGTGACATACGATTTTTGTGCACCAAACCCTATGCATGTATGTACTGTAATGTACTGTACTGTAATGTAATGTAATGTAATGTACTGTAGTGTAATGTAATGTACTGCACTTTACTGTAATGTAATGTACTGTAGTGTGATGTAATGTACTGTACTTTACTGTAAGGTAATGTAATGTACTGTAGTGTAATGTACTGTACTGTACTGTAATGTTCTGTAAGTATGTAGGTTTTGGTGACTTAGGACTTGTGCCCCTCTAGTGACATACGATTTTGTGCACCAAGTCCTGTGCATGTATGTAATATAATGTACTGTAATGTGCTGTAATGTAATGTAATGTACTGTAGTGTAATGTAATGTACTGTACTTTACTGTATTGTAGTGATGTAATGTACTGTACTGTAATGTTCTGTAAGTATGTAGATTCTGATGACTTATTCAGAGAAGATTTTTTTTTTTTAAACTTAAAAAGTGCTTGAATCCAATCACAACCCCAGTGACTTAGGACTTGGTGCACACAAATGACCTGGTAAGAACACCAGTGACTTAGGACTTGGTGCACAAATTCCTATGTCACTATGGTGGCCTAAGTCCCAAGTCACCAGTCCGAAATATAATACTTGCAACGGAGAACAGTGAACTTTGCAGACGCAGAGGACGGTGGGCTAACCACCGTATGATGGAAGTTTACATTCAAGAGTCCATGGCGCTGCAATACATGTCAATGATCTCGACCGCAAGTCGTTCACGTGTGCTTTTTCTGGCTGGAGTTTTTCAGGTATTTATCTCTAAAGCACGTGCCTTCATACATGCGGACATTCCAGAAAGCAGTTGGTACATAATCCTTTCCCGATGACAGTGACCTTGAAGGGAAAATGGGTGTAAAAACAGGGGGAATTCTTGGCCACATCTTGCAACTGCAGTTTTATATCATCTGAGATAAAGGCCTTTGACAACAACATCGAGGCCGTTTCAACATTTGGATGCAAAGCTGCAGCTGCCAGACGCTGGCCCTGTGAACTTTACAAGCACAACGGATGGAAAAAAGAACGGGTCTTATATATATAATATATATATTATATATATATGTCTTCAAGTTCGCGACTGCATGGTCATGGTGCTGCTCAAGGCTTCTATGCTCGAGGTTCCGTCTGCTGTCGCGTTTGTGGTGCAAGGCTTAAAATCCAACTTCTACGGTCTTGGGTGCCCTGCTTACTGCACTTCTCCTAGCGTCGGAACCTTCTTGGCCTTCTTCCTGTTGGGCTTGGTCTTGGGCTTCGTCCTGTGTGTGTTGGCTTATATCCTGCGGTTTGACTTGATCCCAACGGTTGCCTCCACACCCTTCGCTGGCCCTTGTGCCCCGTCTTCCTCCTGTGGTTGGTCGTGCCCGTTCTGCCTTCCTTGGCTATCTGCATGAGCCACAGCCACGGCGCCGTCACTGAGACTTCGTTGGACTTCTCTGGTTTGCGTGTTGTGGTCACTGGCACTTCTGACAGGGTTGCTGAGTTCATCCGCTTCGCTGCTGGATTTCAGTCTGAGCGTGCCCCTTCTCCAGGTTCCTCGGCTGGCTCCTTTGAGGCTGTGTCTGAAACACCTCCCTCTGCTATGCCTTCTTCTCGGGCTGGACTTGGACTTGAGTCCCGAGACAAAAAAGTTTCGACTTTCCCTGGCTGTCCTCAGCGGTTTGTGGCCTTGGTGCTCGCCTGTCTGGTTCCTCTTTGTCTGGCAGTGACAGGGTGTCTCGTGCTTGGGTGGCTGGACTTTGGGCAAAGGCTGTGTTGGATTCTCGCACCTTCACGCCGAACCGTTCGCCGCCGCTGGACTTGCGGTCTCGGTTCTACTCCATTGTTCGTGCTGACAATTTGGATTGCCCTGTCATCTATCGTTCCTCTGCACCCTACTGGCGTGCCTTGGGGTCCTTGGAGGGTTCCAGCTCCATCTCTCACTCGTTCCCCAGTGAGGTGGAGGCAAGGGTGTACCTGGTTGCAGCAGGTTTCCAAGAGACCAGCATCCGTATCTTGCCTTGATCCTGGTTGTCATGTCCGTGGATTTGACGGCGGAGGAGGTTTTGAGTTTTGCCAGCTAGGTCACTTTGGAGGATGACCTAGAACCCTATGTGCTCGAATGGCCCTCAGTCCCAGGCTCCGATGGAGCTGCCGAAGCCATATGCCTTGTGGTTTTGAAAAGGCAGGGAGGTTTCCTGGTAGCCCTGCAGCCGGGTTTTGTGCCAGAGGGAGTTTTGCAGAGGGCCGATGCAGGTCAAGAAGCGGGGCCAGTTGGAGCCTCCACCAGTGCCGTCGTGCCAGGTGTAATCGTAGAGAATGGCATCAGGTCTGTCACAGGTACGTCTTTGGAGGTGGTCTTAGTCGATGTTTCAGCAGATTTGGTTTCACAGATGAGGGCCACCAACTTAGCAGAAGCCATTGCAGCGCCTTTCGACCCGGAGTCTCCGTTCTCCTTCCAGCTCCTCAGGAAGTTTTGCAAGCTGCCAAGGATTGGATCCTAGGCGCCAGCGAAGATTCGGGGTTAGCTTTCTACTCCGCAGAGGGTTTCCTAGAGGCAGAAGAGGGCGAGCTACCTGGCCAATTCCCACTTGCGACCCCTCCTTCAAGAAAAGCCAAGAGAGCCACAAAGCCAGCTGTCACGCCTACTGGAGGCGGTGTTCCTGGAGAAAGAGCAAGGCGAGTCACCACGGCATCACTGGCAGCGTCTTTGGATCAGCTTTTGGCTGTGGTCCCAGCGCTGTCATCGCAGATCCAGACCCTATCAGAGAAGCAGCAGCTATTGGAAAGCAGGGTTGTTGCGCCCTCAAGGGCAGGGGCTCTTGGCTTGTCGCAGCCACTATCTGCGAGCTTGGTGCCTGCAGCCGGTGGCGCTCAAGATGTGGCTAAGATGTTTGCAACTCCGCCCCCAAGAACGAAGGAGCCTGGACTTCTTGGTCTGTCAAAGGCGCAGAGCCACCAACCCTTGGAGCCTTGGAGCTTGCAGCTTTGGAGGAGGAGAGAGCCCATGCGACGGCGCCGGAGGGGGATTTGGCGCGTGCAGTCCTTGCCCAATCACAGGCCCTCACCGCCTTGCTGTGGCAAATGGCACAGAGCAGCGAGGACCCGATGATGGACCTTGGTGCGACAGCTTCCAGTGCTACTCGGGGGGCCCTAGGCCGGGCGAAGCTTCAAGCAGAACTTGCCTCTTACTCTGGGAGCTTCTTCATGTCGGTGCTGAGGGCACTGGCTCGACGCATGCAGCCAGCGACTTCTACCACGGGCTCTGCGGAAGATTTGCTCCGCCGGGGCGTCAGTGGCACCATGTATATGGAGCGCTTCGGAGGTTTCGGCCGCCACCGGGACTTGGGCCTCATCCTCTTCCAAGTGATGGCGGTGATGGACTTGATGCAGGCCGAGAACCACGGGGCGGCGAAGGACGCCCTGGCCCTATTGGCCGTTTGCATCGACCAGGCTGTGTGATGGACGGGCGCAGATTCGATCTTGCCGCGCTTTTGACTTTGCAAGAGGACCCCCTGAGTTCAATTTACATCAACCACCAGCAGTCCAGCCTGTCAAGGGCCCGAGCCTTCAGCCCTTTGGCGGACCAGAGATGGGTGACGGTGGCTTTAGCTTTTGTAAAGGAGCTAGGTGTGATCCTGTCAAAACACCTGGAGTTGACAGGAGCCGCGCCTGGAAGCTCAAAGCCCCAGCCTTCCGAAGCCGCCGCCAAGTCAAAGCCTGTGCCCAAGAAGAAAGGAAAAGGAGGAGGGAAAGCAGCCTCAAGTGGCCAGTGGCCATCAAGCTCAGGAAGGGGAGGAGGAGTAGCCGATGCACTCCCTGCCAAGAACCAGAGCATGCCTGCCGTTTCATCCCCAGAGGGGCTAGAGCCAAACCCTCTGCGAGACACTATGAGTTTCACCACCTGGGCCATTTGCTTGCCACGGTGGATTTTGCAGTCGAGGTCTGATTTTGCCTGGAACCTTCGACGTACTTTTTGTTTTTCCACGCGGCAGTCGAAGTCACTGCCTACCACTGCCTTCCCCTTGCCACTGCCGTCTTTGCCTGAAGGTGTTCGAGTTGGAAGTCCCAAGCTGTCCAGGCGGAGGTTTTTGAAACTATGCAAGGCACGAGTTTTGCATGTGACCGTTTGTGCACTCAACCAGATGTACCTTGGTCGCTTTCCCACCATGGATGAGCTTGGAAGAAGGCCCAATAGTTCCCAACAAGCCATAATTTCCCGGCTGCGGGCCTTAATTGCAGTGTGTGGGGCTTCCAACGAGCCATTTCCTTTAGCTCCTGGGAGATCTGGTCCTGAATTGAATGCATGTTTGTTTCAGCTGGAGCATTTTGCTTCGCACAGCCCGGAACTGCAGGGCTCCTATACCTAGATAGGCCTGTTGGATTTCGAGAGAATTCTGCATATGCTGCCCCTTCACAAGTACCCTGAGTTGTTGCCTTATAGGTCTTTGGATGCATCCAGGTTGCGTTTGGTTAACCGTTTGGTTGGAGAAGGGAAGTGGCCAATGGCTGATTACTTGCGCGGCCCTCTTTGGCTTCCTTTTGTTGAACCTGCAGTTCTTCGGCATGGAATTGAGGTGGATGAGACCTGTGCAACAAACTTCGGCATGGAATCATGTGAGGAGTGTGCGAAGCTTATGAAAGTTTGGGATGCCAAGGGCTTATTGGATTTCTTTGCCAGCCCAGTCGAGGAGGGTCTTTTCTGTAGGGTTTTCAATGCCTTCAAAAATGATCAGGTCGATAGGCAGATAGGGGGCCGCCGCAGAGTAAACATGTCTGAGCTCTCCTATATGATGGGCCCTCTCGATTCTTGCCAACGGGGCCAATGATGACTCAGCTTCATGTGTGAAGAGGTTTTCCCAGCGTCTTGTTGCATCTGTCACCGATCGGAGGGATTTCTATCATCAGGCTGCTGTCTCACTTGAGAGGGCTAGGACAAACATGTTGCCTTTCTGTTTTCAGCAAGAAGAAGCGAGAGGAGACCGGTGACCAGCTTGGATTTGGACTTTCGGGTCACCGGAAGGGGGGGTGTCCCGAGGGGGTCTTTCCTGCTTTCAGCTCCCTCTTCCAGGGTGACCACCTTGGGGTCGAGTTTGCGTTGTGTGCCCACCAAACCGTCCTTGAGGATGAATGTCTTTTGGTCCCAGGTGAGCAGATTCTCAGTCGGCATGTCTTCCCAAAGGGGCCCCGGTATTCTGGACTTGTCATTGATGACTATTTCTTTATTTCCCGGGAGCCTTTTCATGCTGAAAAGATTCACACGGCTGCGAGGCACTTGTCAGAGCACGGAGTCTGTACGAGAAGGAGCAGCTGATGGGTTCCTCCGAGAAAGATGTCCATGCGGAGTCTGTCTTTAAAGCAGCTGGTGCTGAGGTCGTGTCCGATGCCAGGTCTGTACGGTCTGGGTTCGTCACTGTCGGTGCACCTCTTGCCAAGCATCTTGCTCTGTCGGTCATGTCCCTGAGAGCAGCCCGTTTGCCTGGACTCACCCCAACGCTTGCTGCCCGTTTGGCTGGGAACTGGATTTCCGTTCTCTTGTATCGCCGTTGTCTGGCTTCCTTGCGGAAAGCGTTGACCCTCAGGTCATTTTGCCTCTGCCTCGAAGAGTCTGTGTGGAACTCTCCCTTCTCTCTGCCCTGACTCCTTTGATGTGCTCCAACCTTGCAGTCGATTACCTTGGTTCTGCATTTGCTTCCGATGCTTCGCTTGCGAAAGGTGCAGTTGTGAAAGCCTCGGTGCCAGAGGAGCTCTCCAAAGAAATCTGGCTTGACTCAGACAAGAAGGGCCACTACGTTGTCCTTGAGAATGGGGCCAGGGAGATATTGAGGCATCTTGGTGAGACTTTTGAAGAAGCCCAGGCTCCTCCGCTTGTGAAGCCGAAGGCGTCGCCTCTTCTCTACTTCGACTTCGTTGAGATCTGTGGCGGGGTTGGCGCTGTGAGTGAGGCTGCACGTGGACTTGGACTTTCTGTTGCACCTCCGCTGGACTTGACGGCTTCCCGACATTATGATCTCACCGATCTCAGGCTCCTTGAGTGGATCATTTATATGATCGAGCAGAGGCGCTTCCCTGCTTTCTTGCTTGAGCCTCCCTGCACCACTTTCTCCCCTGCGGCTCATCCTTGCCTGCGGTCCTACAAGTTGCCCTATGGTTTTTGTCGTGAGAACCCGCGCGTTATTCATGGCAACACTTTGGCTTTTCGGTCCTTGGTTCTGCTTCGTGTCGGGCGGAGACATAGGTGGACTTGAACAGCCGAGACGCTCAAAGATGGCTTGGCTGCGTGAGTGGAGGTCACTCGTTAGGTCTGGTGATTTCTTGGAAGCTGTTCTTGCTGCGTGCCAGTTTGGGTCCCCTCACCAAAAGGAGTTTCGCTTCTTGGTGCATGGACTTTTAGAAGAACTTGAGAGGAGGTGCACCAGGGATCATGCTCATGTTAGGATTCAAGGCAGCTACACAAAATAGCATCAGCCATCTATACCCCTGAGATGGGCTTGCACCTCGCTGTCGCTTTCAAGAATGCCTTGCGTCGGGTCGATTATCTCTTTGCGTCTGGATGGTCTGTGTCTGGCCTCGAGTCTGTTGTAGCGAATGGCATGATGCTGACCTCTCAGTGGACTCAGGTTGCTGCATGGGAGTGGAGACGGTCGCCCCACATCAACGTTCTTGAGGTTTCGGCTGCCCTTCGTGTGTTGGTTGAGGTTCTCCCATGTACGTTTCCTGTCGTTCATTGACTCAGCTGTTGCAAAGGGAGCTTTGGCAAAGGGCAGGTCCACCTCAAAGCTTCTTCAGCCGCTCCTTCGCCGTGCCTGTGTGTTGCAGCTTGCCTTTGACTTGTACCCGGTTTGGCCTTTCTGTCCCACACGACACAATACAGCTGACGGCCCAACTAGGGATGTCGTTGTCCGTGAAATGAGCGAGAAGAGCATCCGTAGTGCTGAGGGCGTTGACTTCAGAGCCCTGCGCATGGTTGGTTTGAAAAGAGTCGCAGCAAACTGGATTCGTCTGTTGCTCATTGTTTCGTCCTGTGGCGGTGTTCAGGGCTGTGCCGTGGGCTCAAACCTGTCTTTTGTCTTGCCTACCTGGCCTGATTTTGGAGCATGGCTTTCGCAATGGACTTTTCCCATTTGGGTGCTCACTGTCACTTGGACTTTGTCTGCCGCTGTTGACCTTTTTCTCGGTCTCTGCAACTCCCTCTTAGCTTTGGCAGGTCTCTGTGTTGGCCTATGGACTTTGTCTCGTTTCCTGTCGGCACTCAAGACCAGTCATGTCTTCTGGACTTTCCCTGTCTTTTTGAGCCTTGCACCTAGCCACGGGTTTTTGGACTTCCGGTGGCGCGCATGTGCCATGGAGCCGCTGTCTGCAGCCGAGCGTCGCCAAGCGGATGAGAGGGCGGGAGCTCTCCCTACTGGCGATAGAGTCGCTCTGGATCTGACAAGGAAAAGAAGGCGCAAGCTGCTTAATTAGGGATTTTCAGAAGTGGCTTTGGCAGGTGAAAGGGGTGTCTCTCCTTTATCTTTTGAGGGAGAGACCAGCAGACCCAGAAAAGATCTGTCACTGGTTGGTAACCTATGGTCAGGAACCTTACAGAGCGGGAAAAGCCTATGGGATCTATGCTGAGACCATCAATAGTGTTGCAGCTTCACGGCCCCAGGTTAGGAAACAACTGACTGCTGCATGGGACTATGCTTTTTCCTGGGTGTTGGAGGAGCCGTTCTCACATCACCCGGCGCTACCCGCTACGGTGCTGCTGGCGATCATGTCGGTTGCACTTTTGTGGGGATGGTTGACTGAAGCAGCAATTTTTGGGCTTACGTGGGCTGGCATTTTGAGGATTGGGGAAACCCTTCAAGCGACACGGTCAAACCTGATTCTGCCTAGGGATGCAGTTGCTCAAGATACGCCAACCGAAAACCAGGGGAAGCATGCGAAACATCAGGCCGCCAGAGTTGATCCAGCAGACATTGTTGCTTTGCTTGATTTGGCTTTTGCACGGGCTGCCCCAGAGAGCAAACTCTGGCCGGGATCAGCGGCTACTCTGAGGCGAAGATTTGGAGATTTGATGAGAGCTCTATACAGCTGCCTGATGAGAGTTCTGGCAGACATCGGGCGTTTGATTTGTCGTCATTGCGTCCTGGAGGAGCAAGTCACCTGTTGAACGCCTGCGAGGACTCGGAAGTAGTCCGTAGGCGTGGCCGTTGGGCGACTGTCAAAACGATGGAGATATACCTCCAGGACCCCAGGAGGTGATTTACGTGACATACGTTGAACGCCTGCCGAGCTCCACAAAGAACCTGATCAACGTTGCAGCCTCAGGTTTCCCAGACTTGCCCCAGAAGGCCAAGATTTTTGTTGATTCAAACATACCATGCACTACATGGGTTTTCGAGGTAGAGGGGAAAATTTGGGTGGCAATGGATGGACAAACGCAGCTTTTGGTGCTGAACATATGCACCGCTGCAGTGAACCAAATCAGCAGCGTGGAAACAGGAGGGAAGCCAACTTGTCTTCAAGTTCGCGACTGCATGGTCATGGTGCTGCTCAAGGCTCCCACCCGAGGAGCCCACCCCCTTGAGCATGTCACCTCTCAGCATGGATGGACAATCGCAGCTTTTGGTGCTGAACATATGCACCGCTGCAGTGAACCAAATCAGCAGCGTGGAAACAGGAGGGAAGCCAACTTATATATATATATGTATATACATACAATACAGACACCTATATTTAAATTGCAACTGTATCTCTTGTTTTGGAGACTTGTGAAAGCTTTATGGAGACTTTGAAAAAACCGCATCATATTTGAGAGAAGAAGAGAGCATAGGAGTTATGTCGTTGCTCCAACCTGAGTATTTCAAAGGACCCCAAACAGTGAGCGTCATGGCCACCAGACAGTTGACAAACACCTGTGTGGGACATCGGAAGCCGCTCCTAAAAGGGCACCCTTGCAAGCATACTCCATTTGAAGACAAGTCCTGCTTTCTCTTGTGCGGAACTCTCATGACATCCTCCTGTAAGACACTCTTGTCAGACAAGAGTATTGTAGGACGCGCACGTTTCTTGTGACTCTCTTGAGACTCCTTGCGTGACACTTTGGTGTGTCATGTCAGGCAGTCTTGTAGGATACTCTTCCGGGACTTGTAGGACACTTCCTGGGATGCTCTTCACAATGCGGGACATTGGAAGAAACTGTAGGGCTGTAGGATTACTGTAGGAAATCCTTGGAGGACTTGGAAGACACAATGATACCTACGGTGGGACCCTCTGCGGGGACGCTCTGATGGCACACTCTGACACACTCTTTCGGACACCTTTGGGAGACAGTGTTTTGTTTGGAGGCTTTGATGAGACAACCAGACACCCCCGGAAGAGACTATTGTCAAAGGAAGTTCGTAGAGAAGCTCCGAGTTGCGGATGACTGCAATGGTCAAGAAGTCGTAAGTTCAGTTGGCTTGTCCTGAAGTGGAGAAGCAGTCTGGTTGGCTGGTAGAGAAGTAGCTTGGCTGGTCCTGAAGTAGAAAAGTAGCTCAGAAGTCTGAAGTGCTGTGGGCTGAGTAGAATAGAGTGGAGTAGAGTAGAGTAGGATTCGAGTAGAGGAGGAGAAAAGGTCGAGAAAAGGTTTAGAGGAGATTGAGCAGAGGTCGAGAAGGTTGAGAAGGTCGAGAAGAGGTTGAGAAGAGTAGAGCAGAGCAGAGCAGAGTCGGGCAGCGTAAAATAGAGCAGAGACAAGAAGAGTAGAGTAGAGTAGTGGAACTGAGGTCTCAAAGTGATTTTTCTCTTTTGTTGTTGATGCTGCAATATGCTATTTCGAAAGTGCAGAGCTACTTTGTGGACTGGAACAGCTGCATCAAGGCTTCCTTGGTGCTGCCTCTGCGCGCGTCGTTCTGTGGTCTTTTGCAAGTGAACCTCGTAAATCGTAATGGAATGGCTGCATCAAGGTTGCGATGATGATATTCTGGTCACTTTTCTACTTTTTTTTCTCATTTTTGGCGTTGATCATTTTTCTTCTGTAATTTCTTTGAAAAAAACAAAATCGTACTTTTCTGCTTTGGCGCCGTGATCCGGTTTTGAAGCTGCAGCTTTTGTTGCCGCAAACAATAGTTAAAGTCGTGGCGCTCAGACGAATTGATGAGAGGTGAGAAAGTGGAGAGGAGGTGTCAAGAGTTCAGAAGAATTGAGAAGAGGTAAAAAGAGTTGAAAAGAGGTGAGAAGAGTTGAGAAGATGTGAAAATAGTTGAGAAGAGGCGGGAAGAGTTGCGAAGAGCTGACAAAATTTGAGTAGAGTTGACAAGAATTGAGAAGAGTTTAGAAGAGGTGAGAAAAGTTGAGAAGGATTGAGGCGAGATGAGAGGAGTTGAGAAGAGTTGACAAGAATTGGGAGGAGCTGAGCTGAGGGAAGAGATGAAAAAACTTGAGAGGGAGAAGGGTTGAAAAATGTTGAAAAAACTGAGGTGAACAAACTTGGGAAGAGCTGAGATATCTGAGATGAGGCTAGAGCTGCTGCAAAGACCTGAGATGAGGGAGTTGAAACTTCCACCCTTTTCGTGGCTTTACTTATCTTTACTTGCAAACATTGGAAACCCACTAAATATATCTAAATATTGCGTCTGCCATGAGTGAAGCTCAAGGTTGTGCGCTCAGTGCGCTCGCTACGAAAACTGACAATGGAAATTCACCAAACTCTGTGGCCTAAAACAGAGAGCTATGAGCTATACCAAAAAAACATTTCCGAGTCTTCCTGTAGCAACGTGCAGAACATATTTTGGCATAGGCGTAGTCCAGTGTCACGAGGTTTTTACAAAGTACTGCAAATGCAAATGCACCCGAAATCATCCCCACGTTGTCAAAAAGTGAGACAAAGTGAAACATAGTGCGACATACTGAGACTTGACAAAATGAGCTGGAGGTTTCAAGACATCGTTCAAATCCACGAAGTATTGTGCCTGGCAAGAAAAATGCATCTTGCCAGGACCTCTTAAACCGACCCAAGCGAACTGTGGCAACATGAACGAAATGCTACGCTTGCCATGACGTGACTTCAGATCCGAAAATGGACATGGCACCACATCGCGAGAACTCCTTGGATACAGCACCTTACCAGCGCCGTTTTTCGCATTAGCCTGCCGGTACAGTCGAAACGCATTACGAACTTGAAAGTCATTTTACCCGGCAACCATGATACAGTGGATACCGCCAGATTTTTGAAGTTTTTCTTGTGTTGTTCCTGCCATGCAAACTACCTGTGAATGACCTCAAGCAAGAACCTCCTCCTTACTCTGGCTGAGAAAGCCCCTTCGAAACCACACCGTTCCGGGAAAATGGTTTCTGGTTACAGATTATAATCAACATCGTTTGCAGGTCGCTCCTGGTCAAGCAATGAACCAACATGGTCTTGACCTCAATGCCAAAAGAATATTGAGCAGTCTGAGCAGGGGCACATGTAACATGTCCTTGGAAATCCAGAGGCTGTTTGCAATTGGGAACCTGAGACTGGCGAAGTCGGTTTCAGCATTCTTGAAACATGGAAGTGCCAAGCTTGCGAGAGGCCCGATGCAGACAAATCCTCAGCTCTTTCAACAGGCTCTGTCTGTCTGCCTATTTACTGTGTATTCAGTTGTATTCACATGTACACAAAGACACAAGACACCGAGTTGCGCCATGAAATCTTTGTCGATCTGTTTTTGGGGTCCAGTACTGAGGTGGGCAGTCTCCGAATCAGCCCTTGTCTCTGCTTTCGATCTGTGTATTCGCTCCACCTCGGGTCTTAGTCCGTCCACCAATAAATAGCAGATGCCACTAAAGACTACAGAAACAGGATGCAGATCGAAGTACTGACATTCAAAGTGTGACAATAAAGTTTTCAATAAGGCCTGTAAAAATCAGAAGTTTATCTGTTAGCCATAGGCTAACACCGCCTCCAGGTTGACCCTAAGCTGACAATGGACACACCCTTTGAACGCCCTGATCCATGTTGACCTGTTCTACGTCTGTTAGCCACCTAAACAACAAGAATCAGGATCTGCGTCCCGAGAGGAGCTTGCACCGAGGTCAGCAACCACCAGTCAACAACTACAAGACCTAAGAGTGAGCAACTACCAGTCAACACCTACCCGAGTCAGCAACTAAATACTTGCATCCGAAACAACGAGTCAACAACTACCCGCTTCGGCAACTACGAGTCGGCAACTACCTGAGTCAGCAACTGCAAGTCAACACCTACCCGAGTCAGCAACTAAATGCTTGCATCCGAAACAACGAGTCAACAACTACCCGCCTCGGCAACTACGGGTCAACAACTACTACCCGAGTCAGCAACTATACCCGAGTCAGCAAGTACGAGTCAACAACTGCCCGAGTCAGCAACTATACCCGAGTCAGCAACTACGCGTCAACACCTACTTAGCAACTATATACCTGCGTCCGAAACTACAAGTAGAGCCCGGGCAAGGCGGGTGACGGAAGTTTCGAGAGAGGGAAGAACCTACAAAGCCAAGCACACACTCTTCTCTCCTGACAAGCTTTTTCTGATGTCATCGCTGTCTCTTGAAACCGACGTCGTTTCAGCCGCTTTCCGTTGACGTCTCTCTCTCTCTCTCTCTCTTTCTTGGCATCCTTATCTTTGGGCATCTCTTTTTCTTGAGACCTTCTTCTTTTGACATTCTCTTCTCTCCACATTTCATTCTCTTGACGCGGTTTTCGCTTGGCCCCGTTTTTCTTCTTTCCTGCTGTTTCACACTTTGATTTTGAGACCTCTTTCTGTTAAATTGTTTCCTTTGATGCCTTCTGTCTTGACATCTCCTTTGTCTTGAGGCCGTCTTTCATTCTCACATCTCTTTGTTTTGAGATTTTCGTACCTTGCAAACAAATTTCATCCAGTGTGCTACAAGACTTGCGCAAAGCCCTTCCTGTACCACAAACCTGCCCAAAGTATTTCCCAGTACTACTTCGTTCTACAAAGCTTGCACAAAGCACTTCCCAGTACTACTTAGTACTGCAAAGCTTGCACAAAGTACTTCCCAGTACTACTTTGTACTACAAAGCTTGCAAAAAGCACTTCCCAGTACTACTTCGTACTACAAAGCTTGCACAAAGTACTTCCCAGTACTCCTTCGTACTAGAAAGCTTGCACACAGCACTTCCCAGTACTCCTTCGTACTACAAGGCTTGCCCAAAGTACTTCCCAGTACTACTT